GAGGGGAAGACCCTCTATGAGGTGGATTGATTCAGTGACTGGGGTAATCGGGATGGGTGTGTCAGGCAGTGCGATTGGCACAGGATAGAGCAGGGTTGTACATAGGCTGTTGTATATAGGGTCGCTATGAGTGCCAAGCGACTCAAAGGCACATAACAACAACATACATTGTTCATTCCATATTTAAGTTAATAAAATGTAGTAAAATAAAGGAGTACATAGCAAAAGTCAAAGATAAAATAGTAATGGTAGTACCAGCTTGAGAAGGCAATATAATTTTTAAATATATTCAGAGATGGGTCACTTCTTGTTTTTTCTGCTTCTATCCAAGATCAACTGTGATTTCTCATATAGAATATTAAAAATAATCATAATATTTTCTTTCTTTTGCTTTAGCTAGACTGTTCTTACCATTGTGTAATAAAATGTGCATTTAATGAAATGTCATTCAAAAACTATTATATTAACTTCCTAAAGATAAACTGAAATTAAAGTTCTCCTAAGACAAAAAGATTCACTCTGTTCCCTCTATACATGAACTTAGAAGAAAGTACTCATAAAGAGTATTTTAAAATTAAGTCAAAAAGCTGTGCCATGCTATTCTATTGCTTACATCAATGTATCCAATTATAAAAGATGTACATTTAAACACAAATGCATGTTTATCTTTTCAGTAAAGGTATTTCAGTAATTTGAAATACTATATTATCATTCATGTAAATGTTAAAAAATATATAATTGTATAATTTAAAACTCTATCTATGACACCATTAGAGACACTAGCTACTCCAGAGGATAGGTATTTAAATTTTAGAGATGTCTAAATAGTACTGGCAAAACTGGATACCTATTTGCAGAAAACTGAAACAACACCCATACCTCACACAATATACAAAAACTAACTCAAGATTAATCAAGAACTTTGGCATAGAACCAAAAAGTATAAAGAACAACAGATAATAAGTTGGAGCAAGCTTAGGAGACCAATGTATGACACAAATATATTGTCAAATACAACTGAAAATGCACAGTCAGCAGATGGTAAAGTACAGGAGAAGGATCTCCTAAAAATTAAATCCTTGTGCTCATCTCAACACTTTTCCAAAAGATTTAAAAGAGAACCTACAGATTAGGGAAACTATTTGCCAATGACATACCTGACAAGGGACCATCTCAGAAAGCTCCAAAACTTCAACAAGAAAAAGAAAAACAACTCAATTAGAAAATGGACAAAGGACATGGAAGACACTTCACCAAAGACAACATTCAGATGGCCAACACACATGAAGAAATGTTCAAGATCATTAGTGTTGTTGTTAAGATCTGTGTAGTCAACTACAACTCTATGATGTAAAAAGAGCACGGGCTGTATGGGTTGGCCATATATTCCACATCCGACCTCTATCCACTTCACACATGGAAACTGTCCCCAGCCACAGCATCAATAACATAAAACCAATTCCCAGGAGGTCAGACATGTCCCCACATTCCCATACCTCTTTATTCTCATCTCAACACCAACATTGACTGCTTTGTTGTATTAAGTTGGGACCGACCCATAGTTGACCTTCCAGTAGATTTTCAGAGGCTGTTAATCCCAAAGGAGAAGACTGTCCATCCTTCTCCAGTGGAGCAGCTGGTGGATTCGAACCATGTGCTTTTGGGATTGCAGTGCTGCTTCTTTTCATTCTGATATGATAGCTCACAGACCATACAGAACTATATTGGGAAAATCAAAAGGTTTTAATTTCTCTTATAATCAAGACAGCTCCCAAAACATGCACACAGGCATCTCAGTCGCAAACCTCATGTCTCTAAGTATTCCTGAGTTCTTAGTTCTGCCAATATTGGGTGCTCTCCAACCTCCAAAAGTCTCATTTCCTATCTAATACTCCATCCAATTCAGCCATTTCTGCTGCTGTTGTCCCAAAGTATATCCTACATTTCACCAGGTCTCTCTTCTCTAGCTAGACGAAGAATTCCATTTCTTCTGTTTGGAGAAGAATTACTCTCTCTGCAGCTTTCAATTTATTGGTGAGACTAGACAATCCTCTTGTAGATTGTTGAGACTGGTCAGTCTCCGCATGGAATGGTGGATAGCCAAAATCCTTGTGGAGAGGCCAACACGCCCCATTCACATAGTCCCACCCACCTGCATAGTTACACCAAATAAGGGTTAGAGAAGCCGATAAACTCCATAAAGAACAATGTCATATGACCCTAGGAGCAAAAGACCTGAACCCTTCCCTGTCTTCTCCCAGCATCATCATCTGAGACACTCGAACCCAGCTTTACAGTCATAATTATTAGCTGCTGTTGAACTGAAGGTGGCTCAGAGTAACTCTACGAGCAAAAGATCTTAATCTTGTCCTATCCTGTGCCTGCTCATCATCTCTGACACACACTATTAAGAGAATATCATGATTTTAAAAGGCAAAAAAAAAAAGATAAATACTGAGGACCATACTCGTAATGTACAGGGCAGGGGATTTTTTTTTTTCTCTTGCAGATGGGAGCACCAAGAGGCAGCGCCTGATTGACAGCAAACAACAACAGCAATAAAAATCACAAATAAATGGAATGGGTACATTATGGAAAAGTCCACCAATTGGGGGCAGAGGGAACAGGGAGGAAAATGTGTAACAATGAATAAATGGAAATTTTTTTAAAAAAAAGAATATGTTCAAACCTTTTAAAACCAAATAAAGTATATATTTTCTAAAAAAAAAATTAAAAGTTCCATTTTTCATTTTAAAAAGAGTTCACCAAGCAATCTGAAGGCACTAGCAATAAAAGCAATCATTAAAAGATGACGAAAGCTTCTCACAGCGGATAAATTAGAAGTTGTGATTCGGAGATGATTCACTGATTGGTGGAAAGAAGAAAGCCAATATCCATCATTTTCAAGGATACAGATGCTTATTGCTTTGCAGGGAAAATAAGATAATTGTCACTATCCATCCAGAGATCAAGAAGGTTTCCATACAGTAACTAAACAAAGAATGGAATGTGACCCCCAGGGTAGGATTCTTTCTATTGTTAGAAACAAATACTTCAAAGGGTACTTTTTGAAAAACATTTAACATTCTACATTACTGAGTATTATAAAATGTGATTTCTCAGTCAGAATTCTCTTATTTTCAAAACATTTTGCTTCAAACATATTACTTTCAAATCTATGCAAAGATGACCACCAAGTAAAAAGAAACCACTAAACTCTTTAAGTTTGTTAATAATTATATTTCTGGTACTTTAAGTTACAAATATGTACATTGTAGAAAACCAAACAATAACATGCACCTTAACATGACCCAGGAATCCAGAGTTCCTTCGCCACTGGAATTAAAATTCTCTCCTCCTTCAATGTCGTAACTGCATGTATAAATATGCTCTCTATTAGTACCTGAAAAGGAAATTTGGGAAAATAACATTTTTTTACAGTATTTTAGGTTGTCATAAAATGAGAGAGAGTCATTTAGAGATTTTGTGAGTAACCAAAAGTTTTCTCAAGGCGCTCAAAGAGTGCTCTTCTCAGGGGAGAGACTGATTAGAGAATTACAAACATCCATTTAGTGCCTATTAAGTGACATAGGCCATGCTATGCAGCTGGTGGATTTGAACCACCAAAGAGGTGTAACCTTTGGGTTACCAGTGCAAGGCCAACAGAGCTCCCTGAGTTGGTATTGCTATCTAAAAGAGAAGATATTTTGGTTTACAAAGTTACCTAAAGCAAGAAGAAAATTTTAATATTTAATTTTTCTTATTCACAGAATATATTTTTTTCTTTAAGACAGAGGAATACATACTGCTTATTACCAAATAGAATGACTCATCTGCTGTCGGCTCCATTCTGACTCACAGCAACCCTAAAGTACACAGTAGAACTGCTCCCCACAGGATTGCCAATGTTTTAAGTCTTTATGAAAGTAAAGTGCTGCATCGCTCCTCGGCTATATGAGAATATAAAAGCAGAGGCACTTGGTTTGTATCCAAATAGCTCAATCTAGAGACTTAACTCCATGGTAAAAAGTCTGAACAAAAATCTCGAATCTGCATTGGCTTATAGACACTGCTTTCCACGGCAGTTAGCCCCTAGAAACTTGGTGTTGAGAGAGAGAGAGAGAGAGAGAGAGAGAGAGAGGCCGATCAGCAGGCCCAGTCAAGAGAAAACGATGTTACCAAGCCAAAGGTGGGTGACTTTCAATCCTTGGCCCTTGGGCCTGTCTTTCATTGTTTGTGTTCAGACATTCATCTAGGTCGTGTAGCCCTGGTGTACAAGTCGCCATACAGCAGTCACTTTTGGTTTCTGTGAGGCTGAACACTGTGATACTGATGTGTCAAATGCATTAATGGTTGGCTACCCAATGCGGACTGAGAGTGGGGTGGAGCTCCCCGATTAAACAAGCGTGGAAGGAGGAGTAGCATCCACTTCCATAATAGCTTGCCTCCGGAAACCCTATGAACTTGGAGAGAGGATGAAAGGCACCCAATCGTCAAGGACTCTCCTTCATAGGGTCGCTATGAGTCCTGCGACTCGACGGCACTTAACAACAACAACATCAGCATGATATGTTTTTCCAAGGACAATATTCCTTTGCTTTGAAGCCTGGCCTATGTAGGATACTAAATCTATTCCCAAAGGATCCTTGTCATTATAAACAAATAGAGGGACCATGTATAGCTTATTCTCAAAGATCTTAAGATACAATACTGTGGATAAATCTTTACAATGAACCTCTAGAAACAGACATGACTGAGAAAGAATGAGTTATCAGAAAATCTTGCCCTGTCTTCACTATCCTGAGACCACCCAGAACTAAACTGAATGGCATGTTCCTCTTGTCAATCATGAAGTCACGTTTACATATTTAGGACCTATTGCTGCCAATTTCTCCTTTCTAGATATCCCACTTCTGATACCTCCTTTGATGGTCTTTCAGCCATTTGTGAATTCTGTAACTTTTCGTTTCTGACTCAGCACGGTAAGAATGCATCCAGTTTTTACCCTGTGACAACAGATGTTTTCTTGGTCTATCCCCCAGGACATCACATTTTCTTTTCTTTATGCAGACTGTGCTGTTGTTTATGACACTGCAGAGTTAACTTTTTAGTTAGCCACCGTCCACTTTCATTATGGTACCAGCAGGGTCCGTAAAGAGACTGTAAACCAAACCGCCATGAAGTCAACTCCAACTCATGGAGACCCTCCATTGCATGTGCTGCTCCTGAGGGCTACTGTCCAGTCGCCCATGACTCAAAGTGACCCAATAAACAACAGATCTGAACCTTGCCCTGTCCCGCACTGTCCTCACAATCTCTGTCATGCTTACACCTATGGCTGTACTCACTGGGTTCACCTATCTCATTGGGGGTCCTCCTCTCCTTCACTGATACACTACCTTTCCAAACATGATATTTTTTCCCCAAGGGCTGGTCCCTCCTGACAAAATGCTCAAAGTGTGTGAGCCAATTCCACCTTTGCTTCTTAGAAGCCCTCTGGTTGCAAAGAAAGACAGGCTTGTTCTTTCATCAGTCCATAGGATGTCAGTTTAAAGATGAAGGTGCACCTGATGGAAATCATGGTCTTTTTGATTGCTTCCTATGGATCTGAAAGTTAGATGACAAATAAGGAAGACCAAAGAATAACTGATGCTTTGGAGTTGTGGGGTTAGTGAAGAGTATTGACTGCTGTGCAGTTTATGTGTTTGTAAATGTTAACAGGAGCAGGCAGTCTCACTTCCACTTTATAAGTCAGCAGCCCACCACTTAATCTACTACGCTACCGGGACTCCTCTCACAGATTGAAGAGACCAATGAATATACGAATCAGCTTCATTCCTCCACTGCTCACCCTCGTTCCCATTTCCCACCTACGTTAGACTTGACTAGGTTTTCTAGTTCACAAGAATCAGAACATTCTATTGGGCTGTCTCTGGCTCAAGTAATTGTCTTGGTCCATCAGTTGCAGAAAGAAATGAAAAGGGTAAATCATAGCAATTGTATGCTTCCTTTTATCAGCACCAATCATCCTAAAGCTAAAATGCTTTTTAAAACAAACAAAACAAAACCCAGAAGAAGGGATACAAACAACAAATAGTCTGAAGTCAGTACAACAGTGTTCTATGAATATCAGACTTAAGGTTCTGCATTTTGTTTTTAGGACACATTATAAATTACCACTCCATACTAACTACAATTTGTCACTGGTTGCTACAACATCTTAAAAAAAATTTTAAAAAATAAATAAAAAAATAAAAAAAAAATTACATTTACCATTCCCACATTTGAACTAGGAAATGCTTTGTAGATGGTCAAATGAACACCAACAAAAAAATGTCTCACACTTGTGGACAGCATAATATATAGCCAAAAAACCCTTCCTTCTATACATCCATTTCAGTTTATCGGCATACACATTTAGGAAGCAAAAAGAAAACATCCCTAGATATCTAGAAAAAACTAAATAAGGATGAAGAAGAAGAACGCAATACTCTCAGAGTAAGTGACCAATGTCTTAAAGGGACTATTTTGTTATTTCTGCAAAAATGGTTTTCAGAGAAAAAGGTTCTTCTGTCTTTGGTTACTGGTTATGTCAGTTGCCAAACAGAATTTAAGAGGTTGAAACATGAAGGGACAAATCAAGGATCCTGTGTTCTACCAACATTTTGCCAGATTTGCCTACTTAGTGAAATGCTCAACCATTTTGCTCCCAATAAAAAGATAATTTAATTGCAAAATTGTAATCTGGTACCAATTGGTAATTAGTGCAAATAAACACTAAATCCAAATTCTGTTATCCTAAATTGATAAAATAAGAATCAAAATATAAATCTTAACTTTAAAATCTTCAATTAATAAGAATATCTACCAGCTTCTTAAATAACTTATAAAAGTATAATCATCAGACATCAATATCATCACAGTGACTATGTCTGGACAATGTAGGTTAATAAGTACTTAGTTAAATATTTCATATTAATTACTTTTATCTTCCAAATACACCTAGGAGAGTAACACTATTATTATCATCCCATTTACAAAACAAAACCCACAAACCAGAAAGCAAAACAAAACTGACAACAACAAAAAAAACCCCAAAACTAGGCAAAAAGTTATTTCATTTGTCCAAATAAATTATAGTTTAGATTGGATTACAGTTCCATTAAGAGGTCACTGAATCTAAATGACTGTTAATCACTAGTAGTTCCCAGATTACAAACAAGCTCCATTTCTAAATCTAACTTTAAGACAAATGTGAATGTTAGTCAGAACTGTTACATGTTCAGGTCAGTGGTCTATTGGTTAGGAAGTTTAAATTGAACAGTTGCTCCTTGGAAACGGGCAATCTCCTCCTGTGTGATTTACAACCTCTGAAAACCTGTTGGAGGGTCAGCTGAGTGGTTCCGATTCAACGCAAAGAACAACAAACAGCATAACAAACATCAACTGTTCAACTGTCTGTCTTAGTAGTTAGTGTGTCTTTCTACGCCCAAAAGAACATTAAAGAAACATTTCCTAATCCTCGACCATATCTTTCAACAATAGGGTAACAACAATTGCAATGTTTTGATGAGCCTGTTTTTACTGTCTGTTGTATATACCTTGACTTTTTAGTGAATATGCTGTACTAGGGTTGATTTCTAAATATGGGTTGTATTTAAGTTTGATATTTGTAATCCAGGAAATGCCTCTGTGCCATTTGTCAATATTTCAAGTACAACTAAGCAGTAAAAAACATTGCCAATTAAAACCAAGATTACATCCATTGTAATATTAATATATACTCCAGTTTTAGAGATAGCAAAATGTGAAAACACACACTTCAAAAATCAATAAAATACAGTACTTACATAATGTGGAAAAAAATATCAATTTTAACAACTACATGAAGAAACACAATAAATGATACTTACGTTTGGCAAACAGAGAGAGAATACAAAGTTCTCCCCAGCTCCATGTGTATTTGCTTTCATTAAAAAGCGAGTCAAATTCTACAGGATTTTCCTTCCAACCTTTAGGTAATTGAGAGGGAAAAGTTTAAAACATATGAAAATGCATACATATGTGTGGCAACCCATAAAAAGTATTCTTAAAATAATGCTTTATTATTTTAGGTCTATGGTAGAGTCAAAACTAATACTACTTCATTTATACATACCAAAAACCTAGCATTTCTTTTGAAATGTGGAGGGCAATACCTAGAAATATCATGAATTCTTGGGTGAGAAAAACCATGTTTTCAGGAAACCACATTTTTAACAACTAGTAGTTAACAGTTAATTGTATTCAGTGACCACTTAATAGAACTGTAATCCAATCTAAACTAGAATTTGGACAAATGAAATAACTTTTTGCCTAGTTTTGGGTTTTTTTTAAATTTTGTTCAGTTTTGCTTTCTGGTTTGTGGTTTTTTTGTTTTGCTTTGTTTTGGTTTTGTTTTGTAAATGGGATGATAATGTCCTTCATATGTTTTATTCGTATGAATAAGATATTCTTATCTGAAGTACCTCAAAGTTCACTTCTTTTAAATGTGAGTTGTAATTTAGCATTGTTGCTATGTTGTAGAGCGCTGTGGAGTCTGTTTCATTCATTGCCACCCCCTGGGTTAGAGGAGAACTGTTCATACCTCAACATGTTTTCTTGGCTGTAATTTTTTTTCTTTATTTATTTCATATTGGTTGGCTCACAAAGTTCATATATATATTGTGTTTCACACTATTCTTTATTCATGTTGTTTTTCATACAATCGTTCCCATGCACCGTGTTTTATAAAAACAATCACAACTGGACCTTGCCCATCATTACCCAATCTTTTCAGGTCCCCGCCAGGTCCTCCCCATTTCCTCCACCCCCTTCTACCCACCAAACTGTGTAACCTTGTGGTTCTGCCCCTATCCATTCTCACCCCTCTGCTCCCACCCCTTCTCCCCTTCAGTCCCCACACGTTTCACTAGTTCCCCTTCTTTTTACAGTAATGGTCTTATGCAGTATTTGTCCTTACGAGACTGAGTTCATTCACTCAGCATAGTGCTCTCCAAAAAATATGGAACATTTCATGAATCTGTGTGTTTTCCTTGTGCAGAAGCCATGCTAATCTCCTCTGTATCACTCCAGTTTTAGGATATGTGCTGCTAAAGTGAGCAGGGCAATCTTTTTTTTAACTTAAGCAGTGATTTCAGTGAAAGCTTATAATACTAATGGATTTGCCATCCAGCCATTCATACACATTTTATAATATTAATTACAATATCCACAGTGTAAGCCCATGCTTTTCACTTCCTCCCTCTGACTCATTGCCATCAGCCCTTCTGTCCTACCTGTGGCTGATTTGCTGCTCTTTGAACCCTGCATGATTGACAACTCTAAGGAGTGAAAGCCGCTCTGGTGTAACTGTTCCACTTACAGGCTTGACCATTGTTTGGCTGAAAGGCAACCCACGGGTAGTTTCATTCCGGGTTTAAAGTGTGCATGTTCTCAAGGGTCCCATCAGTTTTAGTTGGATCCAGTAAAGCTGATGTTTTTGTTTTTTCATTTTTGTTCCATGTTTTCCCCCACTTCTTTGATCTTTCCCCCCATTTCTATGATCTCCTACTGTGATCTCTTTGAAAGGGACCAGCAGTGGGAGGTGTCCTTCACCTAGTTTTCCAGGATCTCAGTGTCATAAAAGTTTGCATGGACCATTAGTTATTTAGGTTGTTTAAATGCATCTTTGCTTCCCTTTCCTCTTCTTTGTTATGAGCAAGGAGGGAACAATAGTTGCATCTTAAATGTCCTTTTGCTAGGTTTATTGTTGTTGTCAGGTGCTGTCAAGTTGAGCACAATTCTTAGCAATTCTATGAACAACCGATCTGAAACCTGTCCTATCCTGTGCTGCTGTCATCAGTTCTGACACTTGAGCCCATTCCTGCAGTCACTGTGTCAATCTATCTGGCTGCAGGTCTTCCTCTCTTTCACTGACGCTCCACCTTTCCAAGCATGTTATCCCTCCACAAAGAACAACCTCTCCTAGCAACTTGCCCAAAGTATGTGAGATGAAGCATCTTCATTTTTGTCTCCAAAGAGCACGCTGGCTTCACTTTCTTCAAGACATTATTTGCTCTTTGGACAGTTCATGGGATCTTCAATACTTGAAGGAGGCAATGTTTAGACACTAATTTTCCTTAATAAATTTGTTCAAACAACAAAATACCTTTGAGAACAGCACGGACATCTTCATAAAATCCAGCGATCAAGGCCACGTGCCCGGGCCTAGACTCTGTTGGCACACGGGTGTGAGAGATCCCCCAGCTGCCTTCATGCATTATGATATTCCTAAAAGACATTAAAATAGAGGATTAACACGATTAAATGTTCTTAGGCGGATTCAGAAAAGTAATATTATCCCAGAAGAATATTAGAGTCAAAACCGAAAAAGAAAGGAATCTTTCAAATTCCACCTGAGCCAGTCCCAGCCTTCTCATCAGCCGAACGTGGCAGCCCAGGTGAGACCACAAAGACCTCCCCCAAGTCCGCAGAAGTTCCGAGACAAAATGTACTATTGCTGTTGTAAGCCACAAAGTACTGAGACTAGACTGTTACCTCAAGACAAAATATACAATATCACTGCAGCCAAGTTAAATTAATTTCATGTGATGATATTGTGACCACATGAGAGAACATCCCTGTTCTTAAAAGGTACAGGTGGAGGAGGGTGTGGGCAGGGAGAAAAGTGCAACAATGAATGACTGGAAACCCTAAGTCTCTGTAAACTTTCATGAAAATTAATTTTACAAAAAGATACAGGTAGTAAGAGTACGGAATGAGGGTTGCAGAGTGGATTATATTTGGGGTTGGGGTGGGGTTGGGGGAAGTGCGGGGGGGATTGTGTACAAGTGAGGGAGTTTTTCTTTTGCTTTTTAAGGAGAGGAGCTAAGGGGGGAAGGGGGGAGGGGGAAGGAAGAGGGGGGTGCGGGGATTAGGGTGCAACAATGAATGAATGGAATTCCAAAATCTCTGTAGATGTTCATTGAAATGAAAAATAAATAAATTAATTTAATGGGAAAAAAGATACAGGTAAAATTTTTCAGTGGTGAAGCATCATGATTTGTTGCTTTCAAATTGTCAGCAAATAGAAAGTATAATATGTGCTCATGAATATAGATGTAGAGCCAGAGAGAAAGCAAACATGTCAAAAAGTTACCAATAGCAGGAAGGAGGTCCTTAGTCCTTGGAATCATTGGCCCCCCAAGATCACAAGGGCAGCATCTGCCCAGGGATAAAGCTCAAAAGGCAAGAAGTGAAAAGGACAAAGAGGCCTGGAAAGGAGAGCTGAGGAATCCACCCCACAGAAGAGAATGCATATGGATAATCACATGGAGGCAGTCACCTTGGGTGCCAGCGTCCCTGCAGATCATAAGACAAAGTTTAAAAAGAAGAAGGAAAGCAATTAGAGTTGAGGGTACACAGATGCGCTTTGTATAATCCTTTCTACTTCTGTTTTGGTGTGAAATTTTCACAAAGTTAAGGTGTTGATTTCCAAGGAACATGCATCTCTTAGGTTGGTGGTTAAAGTGCTCTCAAGTTGACTGTGAGAAGGCTGTACAAATGTGAATGCAGTAAAAACCACTGAGTTAGATTCTTTACACTGGTGAATCGTATGTCATGTCAATGGTAAGTTACTATAAAGACAAAACAGGCAAAGGCTGAAGAATAGTGATGGCAGGTGGGAAGGACGAGGACAGAATATTTTAGATACATTTCTACATAAATTTGATTTCTAAACTTTCTACAACAGCATCTTGACAGACAGGAATTTACAGTAATACATTGTTTAACATCCATTTCTATTCTATATGTATTTTATTTCTCTGAAATAGCATATATTATGATTTGGATGTTGTGTGAACACATACTACTTGTAAACAGTTCCTAGATTATGAATTAATTCTGTTCCTAAAACTTTCTTTAAATTGAACTTGTATATAATTTGGTACAGTTAGGAACAGTTATATCAAATGTCAGTTAATCAAATTATCTCAGTATTTAGTATACATAGCAGAAATCTGGACTGGGAATGATAGGAGAATTGATACCTTTGAGCTGTGGTGCTGGAGAAGAGTACTGAATAGACATACTATGGACTGCTAAGAGAACAAACAAGCTCATCCTTGAGAGGGTGAAACCAGGCTTCCCCTTGGAGACTAGGATTCTGAAGCTCCATCTGACATACTTTGGGCATGTTGCAAGGTGGCATCAGTCCTTGGAGAGGAACATTATGCTCAGGAGGTTGGAGGGCCAGCACAAGATGGAAAGACCCTCGATAAGACAGAATGTCTAAGTGACTGGAGTAATGGGAGTAGGTGTGCCGGAGATAGTAAAGTTGGCTCAGGATAGAGCAGGGTTCAGAGCTGTTGTGCATAGGGTCGCTATGAGTCGCAAGTGACTTGACAGTACATAACAATAACATCTCTGCATAAAAAATTAATGGAACACTTGTAGATACACTAAAATATCTTTAGCATAATAATACAGTAATAATGAATTCCAGGGCCCTCAAGACAATAGACTTGAAGAATATAGAGGCCATTTAGCAAAGAAAAGTAATAATAGTTTTGATGCACGTCACAAAGTAGCACTCTTTTGTTATTATGAACCATTACATGAACCTCAATTTGTTTTTTTTACTTTGTGTATGTGTGTGTACTGTCAAATCCGATCTGACTGGTACAGGAGGAGATTGCCCCTCCTTCTCCAGCAGAGCATCTGGTGGATTCAAACCGCGTACCTCTGGGATTGCATGCAGCTTCTTGGCACTAGGCCACCAGAGCTCCCTAACCTCAATTTTTAACATCATAAACTTCAGGGGTTAGGAACCATAGATGTATTTGTAGAAAGACACTGTTTAAATGGATGATACCCTGGACACTCCTGTAACTGAATACACGTAGGTTCTGAGGCACTTGTTAATAATCAGAAATCAGAAAAACAGCGGCTTGTAGTACTTCAAAAGTCACAAAACTAAAACCTTTTTTTTACCCTTTCTTTCCAAAATTACTTATCTGAAGCCAAAGTTTAACAGGACATAGAATTGGAAATGTTTACTACTTTTTATAGATGGTTATATTTTGAATTGATGTCTTTAGTTTCTAGCTAAACACTATTTTAATCATTGACACTTTCATTTCAGTATTTATCTTTCAATATTAAGAAAGGTTAAGATGCTTTTTGTTGGGTTTTTTAAAAAGAAGAAGTTAATATACTAGGTCTGATCCAGGTTAGTCCAGGGTATGTTAGTCTATGCAGTTAAGCCACTTATTTCAATCCACCTGATGTCATTTTCCACAACTGGAGAAAAAAATATCTAAGAGGAAAGATTATAGTGTCAATCCATAAGCCCGTGGTAAATGTCTCTTTCTCAGCCTTCAGCCTTGCTCCCTTTTTGAGAACAATTAGCAGGCTATCTTACTGTGCACTTGAAGTCAGGACAACATTCTCAAGAGACAGCTCTGCACCAGCTGACGTGCTCACCTGATAAAGGGGGCATGAGAACGTCCATCTTCATCGAGTTTATAAAGTGCATCTGCTCGCAGGCCGTCAGCAACAAACAACACCAGTCTTTTAGCTGGAGGAGGCAGCGGGGTAAGCTGAGGGGTCATCCCATGGACCAAAGGAGACGTGAAGTAAATGTCAAAGATGGAGGCGAAGAACACAAGATGGACCAGCAGCCCCACAACCAAGAACAGTAGCATGCCAAGCGTGGCTAATTACTCTTGAAGAAAAAATCAGAAAGAGGATAAAATTAAATTTTATACATTTTTACATAATCATGTGGTTTTTTAAAATATTTTGATAACTACATGTAGACTGAAGAACTTCATTTTCATTTGTTGATGTTGTCGTTAGGTGTCATCGAGTCAATTACGACCCTGTGAACAGTGGATGTGCCCCCGTCCTGTTCGGCGCCATCCTCATTATCTGACACACTTGAGCCCACTGCTGCAGTCACTGTCGGTCCATCTGGTTCACAGTCTTCCTCTCCTTCGCGGATTCTCCACCTTTCCAAGCATGCTGCCCTCCCCAAGGAATAGCCCCTCCTAATAGCATGCACATTACCTGTAAAAGCGCTCCTACTGCTTTGGAAACAACAGCCAAAGGTAGTCTAAGCGGCCACCAAGCAGTTTCCTAACCAAGGTCCGCCCCCAACTGCTACCTGTTCACCCCTGTCCTCGTGATACTCCAAGTGCCAAGACGCTAGCCCCACCCCCTGGCTTCACCCACCAATCAGTCACAAGTTCCCTGCAGCTTTTCCTTTGGAGCCGGGACCTAAGCTGTCAATCATCGCTCTGAGGCTGGGGGAAGCTTCAAAAATCTCATGAGTGATTAAATGGGCTCAATTTGTTTTGTAAACTTTCAAAGTACAACCAAAAATTGAAAGGAGAAGAATAAAAAGACGCCTTTAAAAAACCTATTCTGTGCTGGAGACAATAGTGTAAATATTCAGATAAAAATTATTATTAAATATAATAATGAAATGACTCTTAGAAGCAAGTAAAATTTAATTTAACACTGACCCTCAGGAAGAGGTCATCCCATGATCTATTAATAATAAGTATTACCTAGTCGTATTAAGGGAGCTCTAGTGGCCTGGTGGAAGAAGCTGTACTGCATTCACAACGCTAGGAGGTTCGAATCCGCCCTCTGCTCAGTGGGAGAAGGATGGGTAATCTGCTCCTGTGCTATTAACTGCCTCTGAAAACCCACTGGACAATCATTTGTAGATTGAATCTGACTTGACAGCACTCAACAATAAAAATTTATATTTAGTCTTTATCCTGAGAAAAGAAAAACCAAATTAGGGTTTAAAAAAAAATTACATTTTTCCCTATTTAAAAATAATAGCATATCATCTTGCGACAGTGAATAATGCTGCTATGAACATTGGTATGAACTTGCTATGAACAAGTTTCCATTTGAACCTCAGTTCTCATTTTTTTGGAGTAAATTCCAAGCAAGGTAGGGTGGAGGGTAGAAATATAAGGGTGAGGATGGAGGGGGGGACGTAGGGTGTTAATCATAGGGTTACACAATTTGATGGGTGGATGGTATGAAGGAAATGGGAAGGCTCTTTTGTGAAAAACAATGTATTCAAACTTTGTAAATAAATCAGAGTAAAATAAAAAAAGTATATCCTTAACAAAAAAAAAATAATAATAATAATAATAGCATCCCCTAGTGGCAAGAAACTGCGCTGCAATCCCGAAGACACATGGTTCAAATCCACCGGATACTCTGCTGGAGACAGAGGGGCAGATTCCTCCTGTGCTGGTTGGATCCGACTTGAAGGTACACAATAAAAGGGGGAAAAATAGCATCAGAAAATATTAAATTATGTACTGACCATAAATGGGCTCGCCACATACTGATGTCACCTGTTGTAAGGCGCCCTAGGGTGGGATTCACATCATAGCAACCCTCGGTGCCGCAGAAGCCTTACATCATTCATCCTATGCCCGTCTCATCCGCGCGGTCAGAGCCATCCATCTCGTTGAAGGTCTTCCTCTCCTTCACGGCTCGCCACGTTGTGAAGCATGATATCCAAGGGCGGGTCCCTCATGATCCTATGCCCCAAACTATGTGAGATGAATTCTCACCATCCTCTATAGAGAAATCTTAGAGGCTGTACTTCTTTTTGTGAGTGTGTGTGTGTGTGTGTGTGTGTGTGTGTGTGTGTGTACCATCAAATCAGATCTGACTGGTACAGGAGGGGATTGTCCCTCCTTCCCCAGCAAAGCATCTGGTGGATTCGAACCGTGTGCCTCTGGGATTTTAATTGCAGCTCCTTGCCACTAGGTCACCAGAGCTCCCCTAAGGCTGTACTTCTTGCAATACAGATTTATTCTTTTAGATATCCATGGTATATTTCATATTCTTTGTCAACACCGCATTTCAAAGGCATCAATTTTTCATATTTATTTCCCAACTTTCGTATGCATATGAAGCAACTGAAAATACTAGGGCTTGGCTCAGGAGCAACATGAGTCTATAAACTGATATTCTAGCTCTTTAAATACTTTGAGAGGTCCTTGGCGGCATGTTGGCCTAATGCAATATATCATTTGCTTTTTGACTACTGCTCCCAAGGGGTTTGATTGTGGATCCAATAAATTAAATCATTGACAGTATTCAACTTTTCTCCATTTATCATGATGTGACCTATTAGTCCAATTGTGCAGAATTGGGTTTTATAGTTAGGCCTAAATCATCCCAAAGGCTATAGTGTGCTTTTCACCAAGAGCCTGGAGTCCTCTTCATATTCAGCAACCAAGGTTGTATCATCTGCCTATCACAAGTTACAAGGTCTGGAATTCTCCTGCGCCTCAGTAATTTGCCTGAGTACTAGGCAGACGATCACACAGCTGATCCTACACAATATTCATGTCGAACATGACAATTAATAGAAACTCGATCATGAAAAAAAATGCATTAGTATATGTACTAGATCACTAGCATGGCTAAGAGGGAGTGATGGGGCAGTGGAAGAGGAAGACAAAGTTAAAAACAGGAATGCACATGTATGCAGAAGTATCAGATTAAGCTAAAATGTGAGGGGTGATTCCTGAACTCCTGGTTTTTATTTAACCTGGATCCACAATCAGCACCCTTCGTATCAGCAGTCAGGAGATGAGAAGACACATTGCATAGGGACCTCTCCAAATTACTGAGGAGTAATGATGCCAGTTTGAAGACTAAGGTGTGCCTGATGGTCTTTTCAGATATGCATCTGAGAGCTAGACAATGAATAAGATGACAGAAGAAGAACTGATGCCTTTGAGCTGTGGTGTTGGAGAAGAGTATTGAATATCCCACAGACTACCAAAAGAACAACTTTTTCAGAGAAAGCACAGCTATAATGCTCTTTGGACTTGAAGATGACAAAGCTTTATCTCACATATTTTGGGCATATTGCTAGGAGGGACAATTCCTTGGAAATAGACATCATGCTTGGAAAAGTGGAGGGGAGGTAAAAGACAGGAAGACCCTTAATGAGATGGACTGACACAGTGACTGCAGCAATGGTCTCAAATATGTCAGAAATGATGAAGATGGCACAGGATAGGCCAGCGTTTAGATCTGTTGTTCGTAGGATCACGATGAGTCAGACTCCAGTTGAAGGTACCTAAAAACAACAGTACACATATATGTAATATGTATATACATGCTTGAGCATAATTTAAAAAACAAAATTACAACTAACTTTTAAAATAACATTTTTATTTGTAAACATTTAGATTCACAGTAAAGTGCAGAGAGTGTTTCCAATTGCCTAGCCATTCAGTTTCTCCTACAATTAATATATTATTAGGCTTATTTTGCTATAGCTAATAAATTCTTATTAGTACATTACCTGTTGCTATATGCCACTGAGTTGGAACCAAATCCTTGGACCTTCCAGCAGGTTTTCAGAGGCAGAAGAGGAAATGGCCCATCCTTCCCCAGCAGAGTAGCTGGTGGTTTTGAACTGTGTACTTTAAGGATTGCAGCACCGCTTCTTACTACTAGGCCACCAGCTCTCCTACCTCGAGGGTATAATTGGTTCTCCTTCTTCTGCTCTAGGATCCCAGCCAGGAAATTACATCACATTTAATTGTGAGGGCTCCATGGCTGTAGCAATATCTTCAATTTTTCTTGGTTTTTACAATATTGGTATATTTAGTAATATTTTGTATAACGCCCCTGTGCTGGTATTTGCCTGTCTTTCTCATGGTTAGAATGAAGTAGTCACGAAGATGGTACAAGACCAGGAGAGGTTTGGTTGTGTTATACCGAAGATTGGCGTGAGTCTGAACTGACGGAAGGTTAACAAATAACAACATGCAACATGGGTTTTGAAGAGAAAGACCATAAAAAGAGTCCTCATTCTGCTAAAACTAGGGTGTAAGGTGTGTCTGGGGACCGGTAGAATGGAAGCTGTACAGGTGAGGGGCCAGGTTGTTGTGAGTAAAACTATGACATTTCCATTATCTGCTAATGGAAATACGGAAATGGGGAGTGCTGTGCTAGGCTCCTCTCTAGAGAAAATGAATTTATTGTCAAAAATTAATAAATGCAAAATTCCAAATAATGTCACTTAGCGGACTTGTTGTTAGATGTGATCCCATCAGCTATGACCATGGTGACTTCAGAACAATAGATCACAGAATATCTATGAGGTAGTGGCCTTATTTAATAGCTTTCCCTGGCAATTGCCTTTGACTTCTTGCTACATTTCTGGGTGGGAATACACAAACCAAGGGTGTAAACTACTTACGGTGGGATTGTTTTGTTTCCCAATCCCATCAGATTTAAACTGAACAAGTTTCATGACAGAAAAGAGATATCTTGCTGCCAGGAAGAAATAAGCAGGAGAAAAAGCAGTGAGCATCTTTTGGGATCAGAGATTCCTGCCGTCGTCAGATGAGAACAGCAGCGGTGGAGAAGCAGAGATGGTGTGACACGGAGCTGACCTGGGTCTGCTGCCTCACAGGGCTGGAGCCAGGAGCCTTTGCCCAAGCTCAGACTAAGAGGGAGACGCCATAATTGGAAGGACTAGGAGACCTTTTTAACACTGATCTAAAGGCTAAAGGGCAAAGGGCCTGTGAGCCTGCTTGAGGAGCTATGCACGCAAAAAAGGTGCAGCCTACTTCCAACCTCAACTGTCACCTGTTAAGCTCCTAATAAACCCTGTAACTGGGAGTCTGGCTCCGTGAGT